GTAAATAAAGCACCCCGATAGTGAGAGGCAAGGGGACTCACGTAAATAAAGCACCCCGATAGTGAGAGGCAAGGGGACTCACGTAAATAAAGCACTCCGATAGTGAGAGGCAAGGGGACTCACGTAAATAAAGCACCCTAAAGAGAACAAAAAACTACCACGTCCACGCCGTTGTTCCTGGGTAGTGCTAAGAGTAGTAATTTCTATTAATTTCAGGCAAAAATTTTGTCCGTTATCTTGGTCCGCCATCTTGGATCCGTTATTTTGAATTTTGCAAATCTGACTTCAGATTCGTGATCAGCAACCTCAAAAACCCTCGTAAACTTAATGTGGTGCAAATCGGTTGACTAAAATTTTTGTCCGCCATCTTCGTTCGCCATCTTAAAAATTGTAAAACAGCCAAGGTTATATCTGAATGTAAAATGTTCCGCTTTTTTATTTTCCAATGTTAAAAAGGGGGTTTCCATTTTAAAAAACCACTTCCAGTTGAAGTAACCCACTTTCGGTCAAAATCAAAAGTTGAAAGGTACGCCATTTTGGTTCCCCCTCAAAACCCTACAACTTTTATATGAAACTTTTTTTGATTCCTGGCCACACAAACGAGTTATTGGAGGTGATAGATTAAGATGACTCACCCTGTATATTTAAAATAAAGAAATACTAAAAATGTACTTTGAATCGGCAGACAAGGTAGATAAAAACAAAGGAACATTTTTACAGCGTTTAAGGAGGACATTTTGACGCTATAAGCGCTATTAGCACATCGTGCCTCACTTCGTAATCTTGAGCAGAATTAGCGCGAGTAATGACGTCAACAATGACGTCAACACCACTCTGTTAGCGCTACAAAACAGCTCCATAAACGGCCAAGATGCGCTTATAGCGCTATAAGCACACTGCCTAAACGCTCTGCAGTTCAACTGTGAAGAAGAGTAAAGGCGATCCACAGTCTAGTTGGGCAAGGATTGTGCTGTAGTGTTACCCTGTGCGTCATACGTTGTTTGATTTCGTTGTATTTTGTATTATGTTATTTTGTCTTAGTTTGTCTTGTTTTATCTTGTTGTATGCGTAAGTATGCGTGTGTGGTGTATTTTGTATAGCACCAAGTAAAATCTTGTATACATTTATATAAAATATTATATTTGTAAGTTGTTTATACGTTCTAAAATATAAAATATGAAATATTCCAAAACAATAGAAAGTTTAAAATGATATGTGATCAGTGTATTTTATAAAAATCAAATGGTGGCGTACGATGATTCATTGTATTTCGAGTTTTTATATGATTGTGTTA